GTCACGCTGTCAATTCGAATAGCCAAAGCAGCCAATACAGGTATATATATATCTGTATAAAAATTTCACAGTTGGACCATTGAGCAAGATTCACCTTCTAACGGCTGGTTATGCTTAGTACACGAGCAAGGCTGTTCATCCCTTAAAGTTTGCACGTGGGTTTACGAGAGGGTTTCGATAAACAAATAATCGTACAAGACCGAAATAGGTACAACGTCCGCTTATTAATCCTTGACCGGGCGACAGCTGAGATAAAGAAAAGTACAGTGAGAGAAAAGGAAAAACCAACGTGTCTGGAACCCATTAACAAAAGCGTTAAAAGATAAGCGTCGCGTAAGGAACAAAAGAAACAGAGTCCAGACGCCATAGAAAGAAAAGACACCAAATGTAAAATCGTTGAATAATTTTCACGTGGCAAATTTTTGTCCATCTGATAAGTACGTGTCAAAAATAAATATTTTATACTATATACATATATATGATATATACATCATAAAACCACTATCAATAATCCCTGCTAGCATCCCTTCTTCAGGTCGTATAGCGATTTCGCGCTACCACGATGAAGTATAAAGGAGTGTAAAAAAGCAAAGGAAAAAAAAAAAGAAAAAAAAATCTGCCAGCGAGCGAGCTACACAATCTAGGTAGGAAAAAGAGAATTTATTCAGGGGCTCCGTAACGCACGAGCCGCAATTCGAGCGAAGCGGCAACTTGGTCGATTATTGCGGAGACCCTCGAGAATAATTGTCACTGTGCGTCGCGACGATTAAAGCAAATTATAACATGAGCGGCGTGATTGAGGATCTTGCGATTCCTGCGATCGGCACAGCGCGCACGAATGCTATTGAACGAGCTAGAGATAATTCTTTCCAATTATTATGCATCGAACGAGCGATACGACCCCTTTGACGATAAACTGCTTAATTAATCAGTTAATTATCCACCAGCGACGCCATACACATTAATTGACATTGATCAGTCCACATTAATGATAATCGAGTTAAGACTCTGCAAGATATTCTTCTGTATTAAAGCAGACCTCGGTCTGCAGCAATAGACGAGCAAAAAGTTCCCGGCTACCAAGTGAATGATTATATGAAAAATTTTCTTTAACGTATGTAAGTGTTACCTAATACGATATACGTTAATTTTTTTTTCCTTACTTTTCTTTATCAAGAAAAATGATAAAGGTAACCCCTTGATGTATACTTTAAATTCTCTGGTAGCGATCCCGATATTTCCTACCGTGCGTGTACGGGGATATTTATTCTTCACTCTTCAAAGATTCAAAGAGGTCGAATAAGCATTCCACGTTGGATTAGATAAGGTCGTCGAGAAAGAAAAAAAAAAATAATTTCCTCTAACAAGCATACATAGAAATGTCAAGACATATAATATCGGTATATCATCGGTAAGTATATACTCTTGAAATATATCTGTCAGCTGGATTAGCAATTGCTGACGCAGGATATGATTTACGTGTAAATTCAATAACGAGGTCTAATACGTGTACATCGACTGCACGTAGCTATTCAATGGAAGAATCTACGAGTCCAATGACTCGCGATCGTCTCGGAAATATCGTAAAAAGATCGGCAGATAATAACTCAGTGATAAGTAGCTGGTCTATTCGAATACGTTCGTATATCGATGTATTATTATATTTATCTTTACGTTTCGTCGATACGTCCGCGTCGACGGAAACTGGAACGCCGTTGTTGTTATCGTTTTCTGAAGCTGTCAAATGGCAAAGAGGAAAAGTTACGAAAAGCAGGCGGGCGATGATGGTGTTTTACTGTGAGAAGAAAAAAAAATCAATGACTCGATGACTCACGTCGTAATGCGTACTGCGCCAGATAAAGAAGGGTTCTGGGTTAGCTTGACGTTGTCTGTGAATCAGCAAACCGGAACTGAGGAAGTCGATGAAACGGAGTAAAAGAGAATTTTCGATGAGCCGATGAAAGAGAAAAAAAAAAGAGGAAAATATCACACAAAGGGAATAAAGATCGAGAATGACTGTATTTTGAGTCACTCGATGATCTGCTTCCTGCTGGAGTTGGAAGTAAAGGAAGAGAGGAATGAAGAAAGAAAGGAAAAAATAAATAAAAGTCCGGCGATTCTTGAATGCGACTCATTCAGGCGTCACAATTAAAATCGGTTTCTAATTATAATGCCAGCAAAGGAAAAAATCAGTTTCACGGTGATCGATCAAATGGATGTGTTGACTGTCGGATGATCGAAAAGAAAATAGCCGATTCCTGATAACTCAGTGACTCACGTAGTTACTGTCGCGTTTTCTAATCATGGAATTCCAATCCCATTGCAATTTTTCCACATGACACATTCACTTGGCATTGTAATTTGTAGTAAAAATTTGTCTGGCTATCTTGTAGAAAGCCATTACGAAATGGACGTATACGTGGGAAAGTTTGTGAATGAGTATCGAATACGATGACATTGCATTCATTTTGCGGACGAAGGCCGAAATATTTCCGGCAAAGTACCCGTGTCAAAAAGTATTACGACTGTAGAGTTAACACGTATTAGTAACTGCTGTCAAGTAACGTATGCGTTTTAGTGAGTTCAATTAAAGTGGTGTTTCAACGCATTAAATTAACTTATACGTATTGTAAACTATAGCATGTACTAGTTAGCCTAGTAGGACATAGCGATTTGATGTAAAACGTCCTTCGTTCTCCTGGCAACGCGCAATAGTAATTTCGTTATGGATTCGGTTAGGAGCGATAATGAAATAAGCTTACAGCAAGGAAATTACCTGGAACGGGCTTGTCCCAGTCATGGAGAATAATTGCATGAGATTCGCGAAAAAAAAAAGAGAAGGCAAGATATAAAAGAAACAAAACGACATCCTAGAAAATGCGTGTGAAATTTTGGTGTACTTGTGGAATCGCTAGCCACCATCCCACGCACAAAGTAACGTGCGTGACGTATATACACAATTGTAAGCATAACGTCAAAACATCATTAGATTGAACGACTTGCAGTGACTTCAATAAAATTGTCAAAATTAATGATAATAATGACACTTGTATTAAAGTATTTGATATTCCTTTCTTTATCAGCAATGTCCGCCAAGTACTTTACTCTGAATTTCAGTACAATTTTCAAGTATATCGATGTCGTGGATTCGCATTCAAGAGTGAACTTGCCTAGCGAGAAAGAGACTACAAGAAGAACAAGAACCCTGAGTACAATGCCCGGTAGAGTCGTAGATCCTTCGGGGATGGGCAAAATAAAATCCTTGCGAGAAATTGGCGTTGGTTTTCAAAGAAAAAGTAGAGAAGAGAGATAGAAACCCTCGTGTGAAGGGAGGTCAAGGGAGGAGAAACGGCCCCGCAATTGTATTAGTAATAAGCGAAGCAGCTGGCGTGCATGAGGTCCCTGATGAACCCCCGAATATTCTGTCAAAAATCGTTACCCGGCCCTGCCCCGTGTAGAGTCCTCGTTGGTGATGAACCAACCAGTAAATGGGGACAGGGTGGGTGATCAGGAAATCATCCCCAGGACAAGAAATTTCGCATGCAGAGGAAAAGTAGACACCAGGGCGTGGATCTGGATCTGTATGATGATATGAGAGCATTATTAGGTAGTTTTAGAATGGGCGGTCCATATACCGGTACTCAGGAGGAGGATAAACAATGGACGTATCGTGGAGTAAAAGTATAAGCTTAGCCTCTGATACTAAGGGCCTGTTTCTCTACGTTCCAAGTACCTTCACTATATCATAATGGTATATGCCAGTGTATTATTGTATATTGCACTGTGCCGCTTAAAACACTCGTTTCAAGACTCACCTCATGTTGGCTGAACTGGGTGGCGAGTGCTATGCCCTCATGCAACCCGTTGTATTCCTGCTCCTGCAGAGTATCTCACTGATCCCATGAAAACACGCGAGATTCGGACAGGACTTGCGGTAGTTCGACATAAATAACGCGGCACTAACACCACCGTGACACCCTGCTGCTGCACATCTGCCCGGCCATATTGCCTGCTCGGCCGAATGGCAGTTCGTGTATGCTCGTATAGCTGCGACTGTGGCGCCACTTACATGCGGTAGTATCTCATATTAATAAATGACTCTTTCACGCAGGAAAAGCTGCCATCTAGCAGTATTCTTTGGAAATTTTACCGATTACGTCGATCACGTTCTCGGCCGTTAGTAACACAGAATGGAAGTGTGGCGCCACTTTACAAAATAATTATATGCATGGAATGAATCATTAATTTATTGTTCATCGTTATTCTGGCTTTTGTATGAATAGTTTTTAATAGTGATTTTGTATGATAAAATTAGTACAAGTTCAAATTTACGATGGAATATAAGTTATTTATCCATTATTATTACTTTTATCATTCGATCCTGTTGGAATATTTAACTGACCTTGTATGGGTTTGGTTTTAGGTAGGTCTTTCGGTAATGTTGGCAGAATTTATTGATTTAGGTATATTGTATATTTTATGAACCAGCTATTGTAACTTACACTTGCTGACACTGTATAGATAGTACGTTTTTATAAGGAATAGCTAGATCTGTACAACCTGGTATAAGTTACTAATCGTCCCAACAGTAGTACATGTGCTTCCTGTTATCATTGACCACTGTTACATTAATTAAGAACGATTTATTTTCAATAGCAGAAACATATGATAAATAACAAATCAAAAGAACGACGTATTTAATAAAATCATAATCGTATTGTTATGTGAGAAAAGACTAGCACAAATAAAAAAAATCATGAAATTCGAATGACTGTTATATAAACAATCTATTATCCGTGGAAGATAAAATAAGTCACGTTGGAAGAAGGTCTCTGAAAAAATAAAAAATTAAAATTGATTCCAATCATTATGTTTTCCTACAACCGCACGTAAGTTAATCAATCTGAAGAGATGATTTATTATCCACCTTACCGATGGTGTCCCGTAAGAATAGTTTGCGTATTTAGCAGTGTGCGGCAGTAGTGATGCACTGACCGTGGAACGCAAGACGCGGTGCGCGTTCGACATTTCCACGAAAATATGTGAATAATTCCGGATCCTGATGATCCGCAATCGCGGAGACATAGTAACACGTTGCCCGACCATCCTGGAAAACGAGCTGCGGTGGTCCGATGCTATTAAACACAAGTGAAACAGTTGATTTTGCGTAGAGCGCCAGCGGACACATCGCACCGTAACGCCATTTTGTGTGAGCTCGTAGATAGCAAGACGTAAACATCAAACTTTCTAATCGTGTTTATCGGCGTGCGCGGGCCTGACCACAGATCTCACCAGGAAGCGCGTGTCCCGTGCTCTCCTGGGGATCTTTGCGGACCTCTATTAGGTGGCACGCATTAAAAATCGTACAACCACCGAGGGTGGATTTCGCGCCAAATCGGCTGCTGCACCTGGTGCATCTGCTCATGGTTTAGAAACAGCTGTCTTTTCTAGAAGGATTGCTGATACACTTGTCGGCGTACTGTCAGTCTTGTTTGTGAGAGGACTACTAAGTTTATTACACTCTGGGTTGTCTTGTGTATCCATTGTAATACACTGAAACCTTCAAACTTTTACATATGAACAGATACATGTGGAGTCTTCTTCGATTTGTTTTGAAACCTTAAGGGTTTGGACCTATTTTGTGAGTCCGATAGGATCTTGACTTAAATTGACCTTATGATTTTCAATATTGCCTGGTACGTTCTGAATAATGTCTCTACGTAATGTTTATTCATTAAAAGCATGTGAATCTTATTGTACATGGTGCAACTATAATGTATGATTTTGTTAATGTCATGCATTGTCACTTTCCTGCTACATCCAATATAAAATAATTGTGCCGCTTTATCCAATGGATTGTGTACATTATTTTATATAATTCGATGTAATTATAATATGTACATTATTGACTGTGCAGTGTTAATATCGACGTTGTGATGTTTCTATCTGCAATATTGTATTACATCGTGCTTAAAGATAGTAGCTAGTATAATGCATGTGCTCTCTGTATTTATGTGTAATAGAGTTATTGCATTTTACAGTGAAATATTCCTTAAAGATCTAGGAAATCGGACATCAATTGTTGCATAGGCACCAGTGAAATGATACAACAGCTTGGTGCAAGAGCTAATCTTATGGACATTAGTTGTTGAATGCTCAAGCGTTCCAAAATTACACAGAGATGTATATGGTTAGTGGTGAGAGACACAACAAGTGAAACAACTAGCAAGGGATGTTATTCTATCGGAAGCGCCGGCTGACGTGAGACAAGCCAAAAAATGTCTGGTGACTCGGGATGGAGTGCAGTTATCCACCATCCTTCGGAGCTTGAGCTGGAGAATTGGAATTGGGACGAGAATGACGGGGAGCCCGAGCGCGAGCTTCCATCGACAGTGGATATGGACGCCATAAAGGGTGGTGGCAGCTGGGATCCTGCAACTGGACCCAATGGTAAATCTAGAGTTATATCTGATCATTTTTCAAATCCATCCCGAACAAAAGAAGCTAATATTATTAAGGAAAAACATCCATATAAATCATGTATCACCAATTATAACTCAAGGTGCTGTATAAAAATGAAACTTTCATGCAAAACGCGATAAATATGCTGATCCGTGTAGCCGCTTTTTCAAGTCATTTCCGAGGCTCCCACATTCACATTTTATACCGCATACTGACATTATTCTTAGGAAAACCATGTTGGTTTCTCAACGCTTTCCATTATTTTTGAAAATGCTGACTAAGAAGTATCCACTGTATTAACCTGAACCTTCGGCCTTACAGGAACGGATTCTGTGGACTCTGAGGAAGACTCTGACTCGGAAGACGAGAGTTCTGGTGGTACCGACGGCAGTTGTTCCTACTCTGATTCTAATTCTGAGTCGGACGACGAAACTAGCGGTGAAGAAGAGGGCGAGGACACTGGATCAAACTCCGATTGTACTTCGGAGCACAGCGAACAAACATTCTCAATAAGAGAAACAAATTTTGAGCAGGTAATAAGAAAATGAAAACCTTATTGTTACAATTTCTAATCCTGAAAACCTAAGTGATTATCAAGAAATTTTTACTCCAAGCACCTGTTGCTATTTAAGAGAAACAAAATTTTATTTTCAGGGTGGACTTAAATTGAAGATTGCCATGAAGGCTCCCAAAAAAGAGGAAATAGAAAAAGCCCGGTGTGACAAGGGGAGGAGGATGCTAACTAGAAGGACTAAGGCAGCTAATCGTGGTGCTAAGGTAAAACATAGTTATTGAGCATTAAACTTCAAAGACGTTAATCAAAGTCAAAAATAATTATAACGGATCTCCAATTTTGAGTTTGCTACATATATAATTTAATGCCTGTTTATGGCGTGTAATTAAGGTGCACATATATTATGTCCACCTGCTCCTTGCCACATGGTTCCTACGTCGAAAAATCAATAGCACCCGTTACCTTACTACATATTAATGCAGGAAGTTCATAGATAAAACACATGATATTTGCAACCTTTTGTCTCGTCCCGTAAATGCAACGACCCCTCCGTGCATAACAAATTCAAGGCTGCACGAGCTCTGATATTTTATAATACATTGTCGTGTAACGCGCATAAAAATTCATTCCAATGTATAATTGATGTTTCAACTTAAGATAAATTTTCATTTTTTTTAAAATGTACTATTGTTCTTGTTACTTTCTCGTTGAAACAAAGCAGTTTCAAATTGTTGAACAAGTTCCACATAAATATTTAAAGCATACATATTAAAACAATTTGCTAAGTTCCATCGCACGTGTATCCCATTTGTAAACAGACTTCAGACTGCAGCAGCGACGACTCGGACACTTCAACAAGCCGCCCGGCATCGCAAATGTCCCAACCACAGGAGCAGCAACAACAACAGCAGCAACAGCAACAGCAGCCACAGCAGTCCCAGCAGCAACCTCAGCAACCTCTGCAAGAGATAAACCAAGAAGATCTCGCAGCAATACTGCCAGATCAGGAGCACGAGGACGCTCCGTTCGACGGCTTTGAGGATTCCGAGAGCGGTCGGCTCGTATCCAAGGCCATCGAAAGGATGTCGCTGGGTGCCGACTCTGACTCCAGTGAGAATACCGACCAAAATCCAGTTCCGGTGTACAGTTCTAAGCTGCTCCAGCAATTCGTTGAGAAGACGGCACTGCTCTCGGAGCCTAGAAAGCGTCGTAGTAAACCTGTGAAGAAAGTGAACGATCCGGAATACGTCTGTATATCCAACGTTTCTCCGGATTCAGGAATTCAGTCGGTAGACAACAGTCCTCTGCATTTGGCTGTTAGTCCAATTAGTCCACCGGCACCATCGCAGTCTCCTGTCCAGACGGCCCCAACGAAACCAGCCGTGAACGTGGACAGGGTATTGTATCCGCCCAAGAGGAAACCCGGTAGGCCTGCCAAGACAGTTTCAACGCAACCTCGTGGACCAGGTAGGCCAAGGTTGAAGCCTGAAATTGTGGAGAAAATTGAAAAGATTGAGAGAAACGAGAGCCCTGCTCAGGAGAAGAGCAAGGAAGGAGATGGTGCCGATAGTAAACGTGGTAAATCCAGCTCATCTCAAGGTAATAAACAGATTGCAGATGAAGACAAGGATGATGCTCCTTTGGCCAAGGGCAACAATAACAATAACAACAATAACAACAACAGCAGAACGTTAAAGAACAAAAAACCATGTCAAAAGAAAAAGTATAGTCCGGCAAAGACTTCTCAAGACCACAAAGTAGTAGCGTGCTCGAGGAATGACAAAGATTCTCCGACACGAGAAAAGTGCCTAAACAAAGCGACCGACATTAACAGGCATACCAATGCTAAAGAGGCGACGTCCAAATGCGATGGTAAAGCGTGTAAAAACAAGAATTCTAAGGAGAAAAGTTGCGTCTCTGCAAAGAGAATAACGACGACGGGCGTCTCACCAAATCGTGAGAAGTCAACGACCCATTTACAAAGTGTAACGGATGACAAGAGTGTCGCTGGTACTAGGAAAGTTTCCAAGGAGAACAGGAGTGATGCATCGCCAGCGTGCAAGAAACAGGTATCACTGAAGAAGTCGATGCCACCGGCGCCGCGACGTGTCCTTAAGGAAAATAAAAGTAGCAAGAAGAACACCGTGGGTCTTGAGACAGCTGGTGTTGGCGTACAAACAGTGATCTCTCTACCAGTTGGCGATGTCCTCAAAGCTGAGAATGTGGAGAACAACGTTTCCAACAACGAAGATAGGGGGTCGCAGCCGGTGCAGAATCATAAACATAAGCATCATCGTCACAAGCACAGAAGACGCCTGCTGGTGCCACCGAAAAATCCAATAAGAATCGATCCGTGCATCGTTCAGGAACTTGAGAAGCTTATAGAGGAGTTCTCGCGTTGCTGTACTTTAGGCAGAAACAATAGCAGCTCTACTCACGCTGAACTACCGCAAATATTTAGGCTCAAAAAGATCACCAAAAAGCGTAAGGGTAGTGACATTAATGCTACGGAGGATCAGAAACTTAAGAGGAGGCTCAAAAAGGAGAAGGTTGCACTAAGCGCGGATTCTAAGAGTTCCACCAATAATAATTCCAATAGTAATTCAAACGAGCAACGATTGCCGCTCAAGAAGCGCCATTATCACGTTTCGAGTCCTCACAGCTCGCAGAGTTCTAATGCTAGCTGTACTGAAATCAACGTGAATGAGTCGAATTCCACGGAAAGCCATATTGAAGAAGCTATTGAGGCCACCATTACTAGATATGGGGGAAGTTCTGCAAGCTCCATCAACAAGGATGTTGTTCCTGTCACACCTAAGAAGAGACATAGGGATACTGAAAGTGTGATTCTTGAAAAATTGGGCAATGACAGCTACGACTCTATGGATGATAAGCCGCTGAATCAGCTAGAGATACAACCTAGACGCAAGAAGAAAATTCTTAGGGATTTAAGGGTGACTGTTACGAAATTGGTGTCACCCGAGAGTCATGGATTTAGTGAGCGAGTTGAAAAGGTTGACAAAGCTGTTTGTGATTCAAAATCATTGAAGAGCCAAGGTGACAAGTCAATAAGGAATGAAAAACTGTCAGAAAAAATTGTAAAGGGTGATAAGAGTCACGAAAAAGTGGAAAAGAGTGACTCTCATCCTGATAATGAGAATTTGGAGGAAAATCTCAAAATTGATAACGATGCTAGTGCCACTGTGGATCATTCGGAAATCTTTGTAAGCATAGAAGAAGGCAAATCCACTGCTAAAAACAATCTAAGCGTAAATGTGCCGAATCCTACAAATACATTGAGCAATTTATTGCTGACCAAAAAGAAGATACGCAGAAGAAAAGCAATAAATCGCACAGGATTCCCTACATTAAAGAAAAAGAAAAAGAAAATGCCGGCTATATTGTCAGAAAGCGTGTCGCAAAAACCCATAATAATTCCTCAGGCTGGAAAATTCTCTAATTCAACATCCGATGATCTGGAGTTTCCAAAATCTTTGGATAAGAATGCAACCTTAACTGAAACGGAAGTGCAGGACGTGTTACCTATAATCGAGGAACCCAAAGTTCATGATTTTGAGGATGACAGAATGGATGATCCATTGGAAATAAAGGATTTTGAAGACTCCTGTTCAGGACGTCATGAGTTATCAAGTCGCAGCTATTCAGACGAGATCCTGGAGTCCTGCCACGGGCAATTACGGGTGCGGAAAGACTTGGTGGAGTGTGATGGTACGAGACCATGTGACAAACTATGCCCAGTGAAATACGAGAAAGTGCAAGATTCCAGGATTTACGATGAGAACGCGACCCTGGAAGAATCGCTGGAACGTTACAATCAGAGTCAAAGAGTAGCTGAACTAAACGAGGAAAATTTAAGAAAGTTGGAACGAGCCAATTCTCACGAGAATGTCAACCTGGAATTGGCAGGTGGTCTAAATAATAATCACAGCCATAAGAGGAGGAGAGCTTCAGCCAGTCCTTGCAATTTGACCTTACGAAATCTGAAGCGTTCCAGAAATGCTGGTTATGATACAGAAAGTGATGCTCTGCCAAGCAGTGACATAGCAAGTGACGATCATGATTTAGGAAAGCATATGAGTTCTGGTCATGGTAGAAAAAAGCAACCTAGATGGAAGAAGCGCTATCTTCAAGCTGGACTCTTTTCGGATTACTTCAAGGAAGATGAACCAAGAAGACTCGCCAACTCTGACAATGGAAAGAATAAAATGGCTTATGATCCTGCTGAGCATCCTCATGGTTTATTACCGCCTCCTTATCACTGTGGAAAATTCCTGAGGCAAAGAAAAATACCCTTCCAACTGCCTTATGATCTCTGGTGGCTTCATACTCATTCTCGATTGCCTGGACGTGATCTGGTACCATCTTGGAATTACAGGTAAGTTAATTTAAAACAATAACAGGTATATGTAGCTGAGTCGTAAGACCAATGTATTTCCGAGGGACTATCTCCTTATAGATTGTAATATAAAAAGAAACCCTTGAATTTCACATAAATATCGCGGTTCGACTATAGCGTCAGTTGTGAAGCATGAATATTCATCCATATAACTTTTCTTTTTCAGAAAAATACGAACTAACATTTATTATGATGTAAAGCCTACTACTCTTTACGAGTCTCAAGCCTGCGAATGCAAACCGGAAAGCGGCTGTGGCGACGAATGCATTAATCGTATGGTCTTCAGTGAGTGTTCTCCACAACTTTGTCCCTGTGGCGAGAAGTGTGAGAATCAGAAGATACAGAGACACGAGTGGGCACCTGCTTTACAAAGATTTATGACAGAAGACAAAGGTTGGGGAGTGAAAACACAGCAGGCTATCAAATCCGGTGACTTCATTTTAGAATATGTCGGCGAGGTGGTTTCAGAGAGGGAATTTAAATCCAGGATGGCAACAAGGTACCTACGTATTTTATTCATTTATTTATTCAACTTTCAAATAAAAGATTCAATTTCGATTGCGGATATTAATAAAAATTGTATCTATATAGGTATGCGAATGACACTCATCATTATTGTCTACATCTCGATGGTGGCCTGGTCATTGACGGTCATCGAATGGGCGGCGATGGTCGTTTTGTAAATCATTCCTGCGAGCCAAACTGCGAGATGCAAAAATGGAGCGTCCACGGGTTACCTAGAATGGCACTTTTCGCTTCGAGAGACATAAAATCGGGCGAAGAGTTGACGTACGACTATAACTTTGCACTTTTCAATCCATCGGAGGGCCAAATGTGCAGATGTGGCAGCACTGCTTGTCGCGGTGTAATTGGTAACTAAACTTTTCTTTACTGACCCATCCAAATTTTCTCAATAGAAAATGGCAATGCTTTACTGGCCTTGCGCATCTTGACACTTGGCATGTCCTCTCTTTTTCTGTGTGATAAATCAGGTGGAAAAAGTCAGAGAGTGGCCAGACCTCTCGTTCCAGTTCCAACTCAATTGGACACCACGGAAAGGAGATCAGTTGGCCGTCCAAGGAAGAATGTGCGCAAGTCTAACGTGGTCCACTCCGTAAACGCCAAAGGACTATGCAAGTCGCGAAAAATGGGAGATACTAGTCTTGCGCACGCGCCTCTTGTGAAGCCCATGTCTCATCAGCAACGTTGTTTCGCCCAGCAACATCATTGCTTCCTTTTGAGGAATCTTGAGAAGGTCAAGCGTCTCAAATCGGTGGTCAACCAGGTACAGTCACAGACTGGCAAGGCAAAAACAAATAACGTGCAGGCAGCTAAGGAAAAGATAACTGGGGACTCGAAGACACAGTCGGATGCATTCTTTTCTCAGTTAACCGCCCTGACCAATACCAATGCGCGTACCGTTAGAACCAGGCGACTCGCGCAGGCGCAAGATGATCCGGAGGTAAACAAGACTGCTAAGCTGGCCAAGGTAATTGGAAGCACCTGAAAAATCTACAGGCCTGAAATCTACATGAGTATCAAATCAATATGTTTTTAATGAAAGCAATTAAAATTTGTGACCACTTTTTTATATTTTTCCTTATTTCATAGGTATTGAAAGATCTTTATACAATCGTTGCCACTGCTAACGATGAGAATGGCCAACCGCTTTGTGCTGCGTTCATGAATTTACCACCAAAGAGAAAATTACCGGAATATTATGAGAAGCTTCAAGATCCCATTGACTTGACAATGATAGATCAGTGTATCGGTACCGGTCATTATAAGACAGCTGAGCAGTTCGATCAGGATATGATAAAATTATTTGACAATAACGTGAAATTCTTCGGGAGGACATCCGAAAATGGCATAGCCGCAGCACGATTGCGTAAACTGTACCTAGGAAGCAAGGCGGACTTCATTGATCCGATAACGGATGCGACTGGAGCACCACCGTCTCAAGGATTCCTACCACCTAGAGGATCAACTGCTGGGGAAGAAGATGTCATAAGATGCATCTGTGGTCTTCACAGGTATTAACATTGGAAAAATATTAATTCTATTTTAATCACTCCTTCATTTTTAGAATCTTTTCTATTAAACTCGTTGAGAATGGAAATATCAAATACTATCATTTATTACAGGGACGAGGGTTTGATGATCCAGTGCGAGAGATGTCTAGTTTGGCAGCACTGTGACTGCGTGAAGGCTGACACCAGTGTGGAATCTTATCTCTGTGAAAGATGTCAACCTCGTCCAGTCGACCTGGAGATACCTCTAGAGGGGGAGGAAGAGGAAGAAGGCAAGTCTCATTACGTTACCTTGCTACGTGGTGATCTACAACTACGTCAAGGTGACACAGTCTACGTTTTGAGGGATACACCTGAAAAACATACCTACAAAACCATTCAGAAACCTGACTACGAGCAAATGGATATATTCAGAATAGAGAGACTGTGGAAAAATCCAAAGTTAGTATTATCCTCATACTAATAATAATCTACAATGATAATGAAACGTTTTAACTATGACGTATTAATAAAATATACCTAATATTAACAGAGGCGAGAGATTTGTGTTCGGCCATCACTATTTGAGACCTCATGAAACATATCACGAGCCAACACGAAAGTTTTATGAGAATGAGGTCGTGTGCGCGCCATTATACGAAGCTGTACCCTGTGACTTGGTAGCTGAAAGATGTTGGGTTCTGGATCCGCACACTTACTGCAAAGGTATAACCTTTACGCTTTACATTTTTCTTTACTCCTTACTGTTTTACGATCTGGAGTCATATATAAATGTCCTTTAATCTTAGGCCGACCAGTTGGGTCCACGCCGGAGCACACGTATGTCTGTGAATATCGGGTTGACAGGGCTGCCAGACTTTTCACCAAGGTAGCTCGCGCAAGACATCAAGTGTGTACAAAGCCTTATGCCTTTGAAGCATTTCCACAGCGGATCAAACACTATCGCACTTACTTGGTAAATATTCAGGCATATAATAACTTCACGTGTGGTTCCTGTCTAATTCTTATAATTGACTTACATTGTTGACTATTGTAGCCACATAGTTTGGATGGCATACAAGCTAACAACAAGATTTTTAATCACAAGAAGAAGACAAATGGCCAGGACACAGAGAGTATTAATCACAAACTTCAAGAATCGCATGAAAATGTCAAACTTAATGGAAAGGATCAAAGTAAATCGTCCAATGGACGAACCAGACGTCGTTCCAGCGACAGTTTACACGTGCCTACGTCTTCCATGTCTTTTGCTCAAGTAAATATTAATCAAGATCTGTTCCATATATAAATACGTTAAATGGCCTATTATTTATTGCAATACAATATCAACAATTATTATTGCCCACGTCGCAGAGAGAAGAACAGAGGAAGAGACTAAATAGCATCCTGACAAATCTTCTCCAGAGGATGCCCAACAAAAAGGATCCATTGGATCTCTCCTTCCTCCTCGACAGAAACAGAAGAAATCGCAAGAGGCCTGGTGGATTGAATCCGTGACAATGGATAATACCACGACGATAATATAGAGTCGCATCGATGATTTTCACGCTACAATCGATCCGATCTCGTAGACGAAGCACTGCTTTCCAGGTATATATCGTAATTCCTTCAAATAGTTTTTGTTTCTTCTATTTTTTTCTTGCTATTATAAGAACAATTACGATTTTACAATGGTATAAAGTAGATATACCTAGGTCGCCTCGCCATATTTTTCGTCTGTATCTCGCTCATACGAACAAACCATTCGTCCATTGATTGTACGAGCTTTCTTTTTTTATTATAATCCCTCTACGGTATTGATAATTTATTGATCGATTGCATCGCCGAGAATCCGAGATATTTCTATTGGCCGATAAATCGAATATTAATGATAAGTTATGCAGATTCGCTGTAAAGTCTTTTGTAACCGGTGACGTAACGGACAAATTTTATACCATGTCCAAATTATACATAACTGTGACACATGCGAGTTAGGTCGGAGAGTTCTGTTAAAAAAAAAAAAAAAAAAAAAAAAAAAAAAAAAAAAAAAAAAAAA